GGGAGGGGGTCCCATCGGGATTGTCCCCGGCACCCTGCGCCTCTCGCCGCCTCCTGCCTGCGCCCCAGGTCCCGGCGAACCCCCCGGGTGCCGAGGTTATCGGAAGTTCGGAGACTGGCCGGAGAAGGGGGCGGGGTGCCCGCGCCAGGGGGTTGGGGGCGCATCTTCCCTGGTTTTATGGCGGGTCCCGGGCAGAGGGCGCTTTCAAAGCGAGATGGGATTTGCGTTTTATGGCCCCGACCATAAAGTGGCCCTTCAGCTTGTAAACCTGCCCGCGCCGTCCGAGGCTGGGAGTCCCCGGCCTGCGCTCCGGGCTCGGCCCGGCTCCGGGGAGGGCCTGCCTTTGAAATTTCAAAGAGGAGAGCTGAGGCCGGGGGGAGGGGCTCTGGGAATCGGAGTTCTAGGGCCGCTGGAGCGAGGTCTCCGCAGAGGAGGGAGGGGGAGGGGCAGGGCGCCTCCTGGGGCTCTGACGCCCCCCCAGCCCCGGGAGGCGCGGGCTTGGCTTGTACAATGGTGACCCCCCGCCCGCCCCCAACAGGGCCTCGGAGCTGAGGGGCCTCGCGCCGGGCAGGGCTGGTGGTTTCTCCTCGGCGGCTGAGTTTATTTATTATAGGAAGTCATTCGCTCCTCGGGTATTTATATTATTTGGCGAGTGATTTGTCCGGCCCGCGCCCTCCTTGGCTAGAGACGCGTAAGGCGATGCGGAGTCGGGGCTGAGAAGTGGGAGGGCGCTGCGTCAGCGGATCCCGGGGTCCCCGCCTCCCTGGGGAGGCCCGCACGCCGCTCAGGGTTCGTGGAAAGTGGCGCGAGCATCCTGGGCTGAGGCCTTCCCACCCCCTCGCCACGGCGCCAGTTTGTGATCCGCTTGCTCAGNNGCCCCGCCCCGCCCCGCCCCGCGCGCGGCGGCCAGGTGGGCGCTCCCACGCCTCCCTCACCTGCATGGAATGTGTAAAGCGCTTCCCCTGGCCTGGCGAATTAACCCTTAAATAAACAGCGCCCCCGGGAGGCGGCCGCGTCTCTCTCCTCTTAGATGCCCCCGAGGTCAGGGTCTTTCTCCTTTCTCCTGAAACTCCCGGGTCTCGTCCATAGGGGGC